CCATCGTTACCTGCAGACTGCACTGCCTCACTGTTCAGTCCCAATTCCAGGCAATTTATGAATAAGTGAAGATACAAGATTTTGGTGGCAAGCTAGACTTGTTCTTTTGGGGGGGATGAGAGAGTTCTGAGAGAACTGTGACTGACCCAAGGTCACCCAGCTGGCTTCATGTGGAGGAGTGGGGAATCAAACCCGGCTCTCCAGATTAGAGTCCGCCGCTCTTAACCACGACACCAAGCTACATAACTTTTCCCGAAGCCTTTGGTGAGGCATCTTGTTAAACACTTTTTTGGAAGTCCAAAAAGCCACACTTGTCCTATACACATACTAACACTTTCGAACAGTTCTCAGCAGTTGGCGAGGCAGGACTTCCCTTGACAGAAGCCAGGCTGATTCCTTTTCAGCAAGGCTTCTTTGTCTGTGTACTTAGCCGTTCAGTCTTTAATAACACTTTGCTGGAATTTACTGCCAGCACTGACATATATAAACTACAATAATAAAACTGTCAGAGTGGTTGAGTAGTGGAACAGTCTGCCTCGGGAGTTGGTGGCTGCTCCGCTGGACGTTTTCAAGCGGAGGAGGCTGGATGGCCATCTTTCGGATCTGTTGTAGGGCTATCTTTCCGCTATGCTCCTGCGGAGTGCAGAGGGGGTTGGACTAGATTACCTGCGAGGTCCCTTCCAACTCTAACATTCTGTGATTCTATGAAATAGATGCAGGTAGGGGTCACCCTGTTGCAGTAGTCACAGCAGTAGTTGCCCAGAAGCAACAGAACAAAGTTTGACTCCAGTGGAACCTTTAAGGCTTATACCCAGAGTTAAACTTCTTTGGTCTTTAAGGTGCCGCTGGACTCAAACTTTTGTTCAATAACAAAAATAGTTCTTTAGGTTTGCATTCTCTCCCCTGCCCCATCTCTGATGATTCACAGTCAGAGATCTGGAGCAACCTTTCAGAGAGGCCCCACCTGAGGAGGCTGAAGTTGGTTCCCAGTTCCTTATTCATTCCTTATTATTTGTGAGCCCATCTGAAAACATTCAGGAGAGTTTAAAAGCTCTGCTTTGGGCATGCAACCATTCCAGTTCTGTATTCAAATCTTCATTGGCCTCGGTCACACGGGCCAGATAACGCAGTGGGGAGGCGTGGCTCTTTGCGCCGGCGCAATTAGACCCGCCAGAACGCGATCAGACACGACGGCAGCACACCGCGATTTTGTCCGTCAGCACGTGGAGGGCAGCTGGGGGGAAAGCCGCGCGACAGCGTGATCACACAGAACAATTCCATCGGCAGCCCGTGGCAAACCATTTGCTAGCACATTTGTTGAGATACTTTTTAACTGCGCAGCTTCGGCGGCACGCCACAGGTTGGCCATGGGTGCGCTACGCTTGCCAGATGTTGTGGTGTGATCGTGCCCTGAAAATCCGTCCAGCATTTGGGACTCTTCCGCGGCAAATTTGGCGTGTGAAGGGGGCCTTTTGTAATACAAACTTCCAAATGGAAGCTTGTGGTGCCTGAACCAAGTGTTTGAACTGGGCACCACTGTATGTCTTCATGCAGGGGACAGTCTCCAGAGGGTGGGGATGGATCATTTGGGGTGGTCCAAAGAGTGTTTTGGGGTGCAGCCTGGCCCCAGTGTCTGCCCATGTGGATGTCCTGGGGCAGCTGGCACAAGAACTGGGCTTTGGAGCAGGAAACAGCATATGTCATCTGGAAGGGCAGTCTCCTGTACGCTGGGGGAGGGGTGTGTGACATATGGTGGTCCAAATTTTATTTTGAGGTGCAGCGCTCTTAAACTCTCTTGCATGTTTTTGGATGGGTTCATGAATAAGGAACAAATAAGGAACCAATATAGGAGCTGCGGTGGCTCAAGTGGTTAAGACGCTGAACTGCAGGCTGTGGAAGGTCAGTAGTTGGAAGGTAACAGCGTTCCGTGCGCCTTGGTGTTTAGTCATGCCGGCCACATGACCACGGAAACGTCTTCGGACAGCGCTGGCTCTTCGGCTTTGAAACGGAGGTGAGCACCACAACCCTAGAGTCGGACTCGACTGGCTTTCGAGCAAGGGAACCTTTACCTTTTAAGGAACCAAATGAGAAGGGAGCACTCACTGGAGAAGACCCTGATGAAAGATTGAAGGTCAAAGAAGATGGGGACGGCAAAGGATGAGATGGTTGGACAGTGTCATAGATGCAACGAACATGAAATTGAGCCAACTTCAGAGGACGGCGGAAGACAGGAGGGCCTGGCGGGAGCTGGTCCATGGGGTCGCGGAGAGTCGGACTCGACTGTGCGACTGAACAACAACAACAAAGGAACTGGGAACCAACTTCGGTCTCCGATTCACCCTCAGGCTGTTCAGCTGAGAAGGAAATGTTCTGTAGAGCACTAATTTTGAGACAAGACCTTCCTCTTCTCTCAAGGTGTTGTCATTTACATGAAAGGGAGAGAAAGGCTGAAGGAGCCGGGTCTGTTTAGCCTGGAGAGGAGACGACTGAGAGGTGATAGGATCACCATCTTCAAGTACCCGAAAGGCTGTCATCTAGTCCAGGGGTGTCAAACTCATTCATTATGAGGGCCGGGCCTGTCATAAATTAGACCTTGTTGGGCCGGGCCGTGTGTGTCATAAAATGTAATGTCAGGCAGCGGTGATATAAACTTTATAAAGGACACAAACACAAAAGGGTTTTTTTTTAACTTAAAATACAAACATGCTTCAAACATTAGCCCTCTTGCAATATTTTGTTTATTTAACAGTATCTGATAACTGACACCTCTTGCTCTGAATTATTGCATCAAAATGTCTGTGCTGTTGCAATCCTGAGTATGCTGTTCAGGTGTGTTACCTGTAAGCTGCAAACCTGTGATGACGCAGCAGCAGCAGCAGAACTGGAAGAAGAAGAAGAAGCAGAAGACAGCCAGTTCCACTGCGGGCCTGATAGAAGCCCTCCGGGGGCCTGATCCGGCCCCCAGGCTGCATGTTTGATGACCCTGCTCTAGAGGATGGTACCGAATTGTTCTGTTGCCCCAGAAGGTTGACCAGAACCAGCGGGTTGAAATTAAAACAGAAGAGTTTTCGCCTAAACATGAGGAAGAACTTCCTGACAGAGCAGTTCCTCAGTGGACCAGGCTTCCTGGGAAGGTGGTGGGCTCTCCTCCTGTGGAGGTTTTCAAGCAGAGGCTCGATGGCCATCTGGCAAGAGTGCGGATTCTGTGAACTTGGGCAGATCAGGAGAGGGAGGGCACGCCCAGGGAAATGCTGATCGCCACTTTCGGGTCAGGAAGCAATTTTTCTCCAGGCCATTTTGGAGCATGGAACAGGGGTCACTGCGGGTGTGGAGGGGGAGGTATTTGTGAATTTCCTGCATTGTGCAGGGGGTTGGACTAGATGACCGCTGGAGTTCCCTCCCAACTCTATGATTCTATGAAATGTGGAATTTTTATTGCCCTCTCTTGGACGAGCTTTCAGTCTCTTTAATAGGGCCATGCATGGGAAAGTGTCGTTCCCAGCAGGAGATCAGTGCCCTAATTTTTTTGAAGATTTGGGAAGAAAAGGTTTTGGTGTAGTGGTGAAGTGCGTGGACTCTAATCTGGGAGAACTGGGTTTGATTCCCCACTTCTCCACTTGCAGCTGGCTGGATGACCTTGGGCAAGCCTTGTAAAAGATCACTTTCTGTCAAGACCTCTCTCGGCCCCACCTACCTCACAGGGTGTCTGTTGTGGGGAGGGGGAGGGAAAGGAGATTGTAAGCCACTCTGAGACATCTTTGGGTAGTGAAGGGCGGGGTATCAATCCAATCTCCTCCTCCTCCTCCTCCTCTTCTTCTTCTTTGGTGTTGTGGTTAAGTGCGCGGACTCTAATCTGGGAGAACCGGGTTTGATTCCCCACTCCTCCTCCACTTGCACCTGGCTGGATGACCTTGGGCAAGCCGTAGTCCTGATAAGAGCTGTTCTTGAAAAAGAGCAGTTTCTGTCAAGAGCTCTCTCAGCCCCACCTACCTCACAGGGTGTCTGTTGTGGGGAGGGGAAGGAGATCGGAAGCCACTCTGAGACTTGTGAAGAAAAATCCTGCTTTGTGAGCTGCTGGCATTCAAGTTGTGAGCAGCAATTTGGCTACTGCATGACTGAGTTTGCTCTGGAGCCCTCCTTCCTGAGCTAAGACAAAAATGTGTGGGCTGGAGGCTAAAAAACTGTGAGCTGGCTCACACTAACTCATCTTAGAGGGAACACTCGCATAAATCCAATCTCTTCTTCTCTCTCTCTTTTTCATGGGGCGATTTCTCACTAGAGCTGCCTCGCAGCACAGGCCGTTTGCGACACAAACATGTCAATTTCACACCCGAGGCTGCGGGGCTGCATTTGACTCGGGGCTTCGCACGATTTCCTCCGCAGTTTCATGATCCTCAAAAACCAGGATCACGAAACTGCCACTGAAAAGCGAAGAAACCTTCTCCTCACAAATACCTCTTTCTAAGCACATCTGGGAGCTGCGGCGGCCCAAGTGGTTAAGACGCTGAACTGCAGGCTGTGGAAGGTCGGTAGTTCAGTTTGAAGGAGTGAGTTCCCATCTCTATTTCCAGCTCCTGCCAACCTAGCAGTTCGAAAGCAAGAAAGTGCAAGTAGATAAATAGGTACCACTTCGGTGGGAAGGGAACAGCGTTCCGTGCGCCTTGGTGTTTAGTCATGCCGGCCACATGACCACGGAAACGTCTTCGGACAGCGCTGGCTCTCCGGCTTGGAAACGGAGATGAGCACCGCAACCCTAGAGTCGGACTCGACTGGCGTTCGAGCGAGGGGAACCTTTCCCTTTAAGCCCGTCTGTCCTCCTTCCACGTGGCTCCGGCTGCTGCAGGGAACTACGTTCCCCAGAAGGCCTTGCAAGCACCCGAGAGCTCAAGCCTGCCTTTCCCAGGCGTCGAAGGGGACGGTTCTTCTGCAGAGGGTGGGTGGGCGGTTTCCCTCCCGGAGTCTCAGAGCGCCCCCGCC